GTGGTGGTTCACTTAAGAACAGTGGCAAAAAAAAAAAAGGTTGTAAAAATGGGCTTGACTCAGTTAACAACTGCATCACTTAGCAGTGGAGGTTCTGGTGCCAGCTGTGATCGTAAGTCAAGGACTCCCTGTACGTAAATCAGTTGTGGAAAAATCACTGTTGGGTGAGCTTCTGCTACCCTTGTGTACCCCTTGTGTATAATGAGATAATAATCTTGCATCAAAGATGAACGAGACAGAGTTTATGTAATATATGTACTGAAAACAACATAAATGCAGCGTAATTTGTATACTGCATTATCTCTTCAGCCTGTTCCATTGAAAAAGCACCAAAGCTCTTCTTCCATTACCCTTAGTTTTTATTTTATTTTTTTCCTTTCTCTCTTTTTAATGAGGGGAAAGTTCTTTTGGCATAATCTATCTCAGGTGAAAGCCCCCATGCGGCTTTTTCATGGGAGGCCTAGATATTTCACAGTGTCCAGCTCTGCAATGTCAAGTGGTAAAGAAACACCAGTCAGTATTGTTTCTTCACTACCAGCTGTTTGCTGGTTCTTCCCTGAGCACTTGGAACAAAAGGCTGAACTATTTTATTTGTGTAGAATACCCTGTTTATGATAAGGCCTCAAAATGTTACAAAAATTTGATCCTAGAGCAAAGAGGGCTTTTTAGAATGACATAATTATGTTATTTCCCTCATCCTATTTTTATATCATACCCCCCTCTTCCTTTATAGCACTAAATGAAAAATAATGATTTAGCATTTGATGATTAATCTCAGCCTTGGGGTTGTTGTTTTTTGCTAGTTGCCCCAAGCATATAACTCTGGATAGTATACCGCAAAGTATAAACAAAGCAAAAATAGCATCAAAATAGCCAATGCTACATAAAGTAATGTGTACAAACAGATTCAGACAGAAATTATTAAAAGCCTTTTATAATTTTTGTGGTAAAATAATATTACAGCAGTGGATAATTTAATGAACTTTAGCATTTAGATCTGGCAAAGTCATTTACAGCTTATTAAAGAACCCCCTGTTGTGCATGTGTATCTGTGTGATAACTAAACAGTTGGATTTAGTTTTCATTTTGCTAAAATGAATCTTCAAGTCCTTATTTTTCTGCCAGGATGTTTGATGTTGGTGGTCAGCGTTCAGAACGTAAGAAATGGATCCATTGCTTTGAAGGAGTAACAGCAATTATATTCTGTGTAGCTCTCAGCGATTATGACCTTGTCCTTGCTGAGGATGAAGAAATGGTATGTTACTGTAGAGTTAACATTCTAAATGTGGACTGCGACAGAAATTCACCTTAAACTTTGCATAATATAATTTAATCAAACGTTTTGCTATTGTTATTCCTTGAACATTACAAATGGTAATATTTCAATAGAGATTAGGGGCAAGCTTTTCTTGTCTGCATTCTCACAATTTGTGCAGTGAATGTATTTGAAGTTGGGAGGTTATGGAGATTAAAATTGCCTCTTCTTCATAACTGAATGTGAATATTTAAATTTGCATACATGATTTGAGATGGGGAAAATGGTTTCTGACAGAAAACTGCAAAAAATGTTATATTTCAGAGGCTTTTTGTAACATTTGCAAAAACATAGACATTATTTAGCATGTTTGAAGAGATGGTTGTTCTTTTAATGTTGGGATTATTTTTTGACAAAATTTGCACTGGTAATTGGGTTGAGGTTGTAATTATATGAAGTGTCAATGCTGTATTTCATTAGTGTTTTTTCTATTCAGAATCGAATGCATGAGAGCATGAAACTCTTTGACAGCATTTGTAACAACAAGTGGTTCACTGATACATCGATCATTCTTTTCCTGAACAAGAAGGATTTGTTTGAGGAAAAAATACGGAGGAGTCCACTAACAATTTGCTATCCGGAGTATCCAGGTAAGATTTTTCTTAAGGCAAAACAGAAGATCACAACAGATATGTGTGTGTGTGTGTGTGTTATAGTAATTTCATTAAAGATTATAATTATAAGAATAAAAAAATTAAAGGATGAAAGAATAGAAAGAGTAAAAGATGTGGAAAAGAACGAAGAAAGAAAAGTAAGAATACAGGGAGTTCTTGACTTACAACCATTCCTATAACGATGTTCCAGGGTTGCAACAGCACTGAAAAAAATTATTTTGGGGGAGGGGACTTTTGGAAAGTCATTAAAAGTGGTGAAAGACTATCATATTAATCATGATGGTACAGTCCTCTGAATATCAGCTTTGGGAAATAGCAGCAGCAGAGTTAGTCCTTGTGCATCTTACTTTCCAGAATAAAGTGGCTGGACACTGTAGGAAGTAAGATGATGGACTAGATAAGATTTTGATGTAATTCATTAGAGCTGCTCTTACGTTCGGTACCATTTTTCTAGGTTCTAATACGTATGAAGAAGCTGCTGCATACATTCAGTGCCAGTTTGAAGATCTGAACCGAAGAAAAGACACCAAGGAAATTTATACTCATTTCACCTGTGCCACCGACACCAAGAATGTGCAGTTTGTGTTTGATGCTGTTACAGATGTTATAATTAAAAACAATCTGAAGGAATGTGGACTTTACTAAAAGGAAAGAAACAGAGAAAGGTAAATTGTGAATTATAGTGTTGCATAAATATGTGCCAGGCTGTCATATGAACTTGTGCTAATTTTTGAATTTTCTTCTTTAGATTTCAGGATGTGGACTGTTTCTTTGCTGCCTTGTGAGACAGCTGCAAGCATGAACAGGACTGGGGAATGAAAACAGCATGCAAAACCTTTGCATTCTTTAGCACAATCTTCTATATTAGGGATATTTTACTGATATGGATGCTGAAGTTAGATTCCAAAAATGGAACTATTGTTAAGTGTGATTTTTTTTATCATCCAAGCATCACTTGGATTGCATAATTTGAAATATGTACAGCTGTTATGAAGTTTTCATCCCAGAACTTCAATATGTAGCTTTCTTTAATAAGTCATCATTGCTCTATTTTTAAAGTTTTTCCATCAAACTATATATTGATTAAATTTTATTTTCTTCGCAATGAATCTTACATTTTAAAAGCAAACAAAAAAAACACTTAACTATGCACATGATGTGACCAGATCATGCAGAAAGTTTTCCTCTTAGCAGGAACCTTTTTGTTTTTAAAACTTGGTATGGTCAGAACTTGCTAGTATTGCAACTACTTTAAAAGGGCCTTAGAATTCTTATGGTTAAAGCTGTGGCTTTCTTCTAATATATACTATGTCAACATTCTGCTACATATACTGTAAGGCTTTTCCCTTCCTTAAAGGTAGATTTCCTGTAGCAGGTTTAACAAATTATGTGTGGCTTATAGGTTGGGAGGATTTAGCCTGGTTAATGCTGAGTACCAATTTGCTGAGTGTGCAGCTGGTGTAGCAAGTAAAAATCTGATTCTTTTATAGAAATTTCGGAAGTGAGTACCAGTTAGCAAAATGATTTGTAAAATTCCAAGCTTGGGGGGGAGGGGGCGGGGAGAGTATATGCTGCTATAGGGCTACTGTATCAACCACTTAATTGTTGTGTATGTGTTTGGTCTTAAAGCAGTGGGAAGTTTTGTAGACAGTGGAATTTGTTCTGCATTTACCAGGGCCTTTTATCCTTAAGAGATTTTGGAAATGTACCAACAGCATGTAAATGTGGTGCCAAGTTCCTGTTTGCCATTGTTTTTCTCGTAATGAAAATTAAGCAGAGTAAGGGCATTTCTTTGCTTAACCATTACACTGAGACTCTTTCCCAATTTTCATGTACAGTTTCAACCTGATGTAGTTATTGGCAATATTAAAATGGTGAGTTAAAAAACTTAAAAGTTCCTAACTTTATTGGTGCCATTTCTACAAATCCTTGTTAGTTTCTTATTTCCATTTCTGACTTTTGCAAATAAAAATGTTAGTTAGTCTGATTAATTATTTGCTATTGCTAAACTTTTATATAAATAATTGTAGGGTTATATTTTGTCAAAAGTTCATTGGACTGCACCAAATACTCAGGTATCACTGAACAGGCCTTCCTTCCTTCCTTCCTTCCTTCCTTCCTTCCTTCCTTCCTTCCTTCCTTCCTTCCTTCCTTCTTTTCTCTTTCTTTCTTCCCTCCCTCCCTCCCTCCCTCCCTCCCTTTTTTGGACTGCGGAGTCTGTGTGTTCCCTAAGAGTTAAGGTATTGTAAAACAATGGGGCAAATCCAACTATTAGTAAAATTGATATTGTTGATAGGACAGAACCAATTTAATACCATTTTATTGGTACTAATAACCTTTACAAGGAGTAATAATAACATCTGAGAATGGTGGCAAGTCAATTGTCAGTTTTTACCATTTGTCACATCAACAAGGTATTACAATGGCTATTTTAAAATGATACATTGTGATCATTTATTTATATCCTGCTTTATTATTTTGGTAAATAACTCAAGGCAACAAATATATCTAATATCCTTTCTCCTCCTATTTCCCCCACAATAACAACCCTGGCCCAAAGTCACCCTGTCGGCTTTCATGCCTAAGGCATGACTAGAACTCTGTCTCTCAGTCTCCCATCCTGACGCCTTAACTCCTACATCAAACCGGGTCTCTTGATACTATTAAAAGTATTTTAGCAAAAGACGTGATAATGTTCTACTCATAAATAAGATGTTATAAATAAATACCTTACTAGCTTTATGAGTGTACAAGTGGGAGAACACTCTTCATAAATGCATGAATCTAATAAATCAACCATCTAAGGTGACATGTACATTTTTTTAAAAAATGGGAGCATATTACAGGTTACTTAATCAGTTTAAGACCGATTTCATACAAACATGAACATGTATTCAAATCAGGGAAATATATTGTATAAATTAATAATGTATTGAGCCACCATTTCAGTTCCTATAAACAGCATATGAATCACAGCAGATATTTTTGAAAAGAAAATGTGAAGAGGAATGGCTATGGAGAAAAGGAACGTGAAGAGGAATGGAAGAAATTACTTTTCAACCATGCACCCGTACTTTTTAATGCAAATTTATTTTTATCTCTTACATTTATTTGAAGCTGCATGAGGAATTACTTGCAGTGCATCTTAATGCAAGTGGTATCTTATCTAACAATACAACTTGTTTACAAATGTTGAGAAACAATACAGCTCTAAATAGGATGAAATGCCTGATACAATTGTTTTATTTTTGTATCCCTCTGTTCCCTATGTGGGTGTGGGAGAAGTTCTCTGCTCCTGTGATGTCAGTGGGTTGAAGCTGTATATGTGTATGTTCATTACCACAGGATTAATAAGACAAGTAGACAAGCTGTCTCCACAGCAGGTATTAAAGCACTGCTGTATTCTATGAGTATGGGGGAAGAGACCTATTCTAAATTCACTGAATTAGATACTAGAAAACTTTTTTTTTAAGACATGGGTTCTAATTGCACCAGTTTCAAACAACTGCAAATAGATTGTGTGTTTGGTCTATTTTTAATAGAATTAAATCAGGAAAATGCCTCATTTCTATATACAATATAAAGTTTTTGGACTTGGACATTCAGACCATTGGTTTTAAAATGAACAGTTCTGTTAAATAAGACCCCAAAGCACTGATTGTGTTTTTCCTGTGAAAGAATTATGGCTTATTTATAAATAGTTAAATGCGGAGAATCAGTGTTTGACATAAATTCACTGTTTGTAAACCAGTTTGTCTTCACCACTGCCCATGTTTCCATTTCCACTTTCACAGATTGTAGAGTACCTCAGAAAGGAAACTTATCAAAGAAAATTATTCAGAAATTGGAGACTCTTCACTTTTTGTTCCTTTAGCTTTTTTGATGGCATGTTCTTGGTAGAATTGTTTGTCTTGAGTGAGAACTGTTATCTTGTTAGAATTGTTTATCTTCTATGGAGAAGTATAGATTCCTGAATGACTGTTGCCTCTGCTCAGCAGAATGGTGAAGCTCTCAGGAAGCCCTAGTTCCTGATAGATGAAGATGAGATAATATTTTGAATAATGAAATCAAATTACATTTGAACTTGAAGTTGTCAAGAGAATGACGAAGATGTAGAGATAGGTTTTATGTATATACATACACACATGCATACCTTCAAATGTTTTTCAGCTTCAACCCTAACATCCCGCTAATTGTGTTCAGTGGTCATGACATGTGAAGTCTAGCAACATCTAAAGATGTTTTGGAAATAATTGCATCTTTATACATATAGTACCATGTAAGCACTATTTCCTATACTCGGGAACAACTAGCACATACGTGTGAGGGGAACCTTTACCTTTACCTTAAGCACTCTGGGTGACCTTGAAAAAGCTTAAATAGAATTGTGCATGGCTAGTTCTTGGCTGGGGTGGCTACTAGGAAATCCTAGATATATCTAAAAGCTGAAAAAAACATCCTGAAAGAAGACAAGGGTCTACCACTTCCACGTCATTTTCAATCCTGCTTCCTTCCCCCCATGGATGTGACCATGTAGTCACTAGGAGTTGATTCAAGAGAGACTATTTACCTTTAAAAAAATCCTGAATCCTGTACTGAGCACCAGCTTTGATTTCGCTTATAGTATTATATGAGGTAAAACAACCTCATGTAGTACTATAAGCAAAAACAAAGCTGGTGCTCATTAGCTGTGATTTCCTTAAAATTCCTCTTCTGTTGCATTAGTATCTTCAAACCCGTTTTGGAAATAATTGCTAAGCGAAGAATTTGGCAATGGTGCTAACTCTTCTGATGTAATTATTGCAAATTGTTGTGGCAAAAGAACTGAAATAGCAGGGTACTTGCATAGTTTTAATGCAAGCATCCTGTTGCAGTTTAACTGCTGCTTCCTATTACATATGTAGCCCAGCTGACTTGGCTACTGTTTGCATTTAGTTATTATGCACATTTGACTTTAAGCACTACTGTTCAGAAGTAAGTATAGTTACAAGCATAAAGTAAGGAAATGCTAAAGTATACTTACTGCCTAATTTCTACTTTAGGAACAGATAATTGAATGTAATTACCTTTTCTTTTAAAAAGCTGTAATCTTAGAAGAGACCACAGTCCTTTAGGTTCTCTTTGATGATTACATCTGTTACTGCATCAAATACAAATTTGACGTTCTGCGTATCTGTGGCACAAGTCATGTGACTATAAATTTCTTTTGCATCTTTTCTCATGTTTAGATCAAGAAACTGGAGCTTGATGTAATGGCCTGCATCTTCATATGTATTGGGGCCTGTTGGGAAAAGGAAATGGGAAAACATAAACTAAACAAGTGCTAAAAAAGTATCACTTATTGTTTGGATCCCTAGTTACTCATTTACAAGAAGGGTCTTAGATCTAACAGCAGTTTCTCCTGGTGGAAATGAAAAAGAAATGGTATGTTGCCTTGAGTTCCTGAAGGAAAGGCAATGTAAATGTAAAAATTTGCTTACTCCTCTATATTGTTGCCTACATCGTTCCCAACTCTAGATTAGATATTGAAGGGGCAGGTAAGATCACTAACAGATTTATTGAACCAATGAAATAGCCAACACATCTTTCAGTCCAGGGGTATGCATTTCCATCTGCATCTTGGAACATGATTTTTTAATGTGATATTAGAGTTACATTACTTTGGTGTGTCGACCCACAACTTATTTTATTATCAGAACTGTTATAAGCAGTTCTTGAACAGAAAGAACCCAATAAGAATGCTTCTGTTCCCAGTTTCTTTCATATAAATATTATACAGCATAAAAAATAACGAAACATGTAAATTGAAATGGGTAGTTCTCTTTTTGACAGTAAGCCTGACAAGCCTTTAGAATGTAACTGCAGTCACTTTTAAAGCTTAAGTGTAATACCTTCTTTATTGTGTTATTTTTATAGAACTATTTTTAAATCAATTGAATAAGTTGTCTGTACGTGAATTTCTTATTGAATTGATACTTTTCCATTTCAACAGAAAATTAAATTCAAACCTAGCACTTTGTTCATCAATGTATAAAGTATCATTTACTTTTGCAATTTATTTGCCGCCCATCTCATAGCCAACAACTCTGGGCATTATTTATGTTCTTAACAGGTTTTCTTCAATCTAATCCTCACCAAATGTATTGAGCTGCTATAACTTCAAGCCAGCGAAACTGCTGGACGTGCTGTTTGGGAATATTGATAATTAATCCATTTCATGTGTGGAAGTTACTTAGTTGGGGAAACTGCCCCAGTACACTGGTGTAAGAGGAAAGCCTTTTTCTCATTTAGCTCTTTTTGGAAATTATTTTGGCTTTCATGAAAATGAGGAAAATGTTCTAACTCACCATCATAGTCAGGAAAGCAAATGCTGAGATGTACTTTCTTGATTTTTTCCTCAAAGAGGTCCTTCTTGTTCAAGAAAAGAATTATGGAAGTGGCAGCAAAGAATTTGTGATTACATATACTGTTGAAGAGATGCAAAGATTCATGCATCCGGTTCTAAAGAGAAGAACTTTAAAAAGTTAAGTTTAAAAGGAACAGTGGTACCCGAGGCTACCTAATATTTTATTAAATAGTCTGTTAATATAAGCAAAAATAAACATTTCAATAAATATTTAAAATAAATGGTATGCAATCAACAATGATGGGAAGCAGTGATTCAAAGTCAAATTCCTAGAGATGGTTTCCTAAGAGTTAAATAGTTTGTTTCTAGAATATTAACATTTCACATTGAAAAACGCAAAAAACTACCAAGAAATAAACAGCATCATATATAATTGCTAACATTAAAACAACATTTCAACATTTCAGACAACTTGCAAGAAGTTGTCCAGACAAAACATGTCTCAAGGGAGCAGCCCCTGCCTTTACCTTTGCTGATCTAAATGCTGTATTTTCCCCCCCAGTGCACTTTGGTTTTGGATTACAAACAATGCTGATATCATAAAATTGATTTTATATCTTCTTAGCAACCTAGTGCATTTAATCAAAGATTTTATAATGCTAGCTGGAAGATAAAAATGAGCTGTTGAGAGCTGTGTTTTTGTGGCTTTGTCACTCCTAATTCCAATGCAGGCAGGAAAATGCTCCATCCCTCAATAATCTCAAAGGCTAAGCAACTTTTTAGAAGTTTAGAAAACACTGAGATGATGAGTTTATGCTAGCTTAAATTGGCTGCCCTGTGGGGCACATTCACAAATGTTTGTTCCAGTGGATATAACAAAGGGAGTACTTGGTCTAGACTCTAGATCATCATCTAGTCTGTCTATTTTTTTTTAAATGACAAATACTTTCTGAAACTGAACAAAAATTGATCCCACTTTGACCTGCAGCAACTCCTTAAGCAAAACTAGGAATGGAATTCTTATTCCAGATTGTTTTGTTACTTGGGCTTGAATGAGAGCAGCACAATTTCAAAAAAAATACCTGACTGGCTACCTTTAAAGTTCCTTTAATTTTCCCTTCTCTGGTTGTAATCAGGCAATTATAAAGTTCTGGCATTCTTTATGAGCGTGGAGTAGAAAGGGTGACTGAACTAAGTTTGTCTATATGGGGTTGATGAATTTCAAAGCATGTTTGGAACTGTCATCATATAGTCTGAGCTAGCAAACATACCATGTCATCGTCTTCTACCAAGACCATGTCATACGCACTAAGAGCGCCACAAAAGATGATGCAGGTCACCCCTTCAAAGCAGTGGATCCACTTTTTGCGCTCTGATCTCTGCCCACCTACATCAAACATTCTGGAGAAAGAAGAACCGTGCATGTGACAATGACGTTGGAACATTTGAAACCAGGGAAAAAATCTTCCCAAAGCAATGTAGTTTCAATGAACAGATGCCTGGAACTTTAGAACAAAGTATATTTGCAGTCGATCACACTGGTTAAAGATGCACGTGGCAGCAACTATTCAGCGTCTCACAATTTGCACATGTGTAGGCTTTCAACTCATAGTTTCCAAAATTCCTGGATCTTGGAGATTATGAGATTGAACTGGAAGTCATCCTGAAGACACAAATTTGGGAAAATCTACTTAGACAAAGGTGTGAAGATTACAATATAATTCAGAAAAGTATTTCCCATTTTTCAGTCAAATGTTTAACAAAAAAACCCTGAAACAATAGATATCAAATTAGAAATAGAAACACCTTGAAAAGTTAAGCTTTTGCTAGGGGCACAAAGAGATATAGTATTGAAGTTATTCCTAAGCATGCCCTGCTGCTAATGGCCAGCTTTACATGTTAGGTAAAAAAGTGCAGCAAAAAGACTTCTAGATGCTGAAATGCCCTGAACATTGAAGAGTATACAAGAGGAGGAAAGGCAAAATAGAACTAAAATCGGATTTATACATCCTGAAAATTGGTTGGAGAAAATGGAAAGAAAAAATTACCATTTCAGAGCAAGAAAGATATCGAGAGGTTTTGCTCACCTGAAATTAAGATCCTTGACAGAGAACTTTGTCTCTATGATACCTGTGGTCTTAACTCGGGATCGCAATACATCCTGTTCAGTCGGAAGATAGTTAGAAGCGGTGATCCTGTCCAGCTGATTAAGATAGCTACAGAAGAATGAGATGCAATATCATTTCTTAGCATGGCGTATATAATAGCATGTGCCATATGCCATCTATATTTTAATGTGATAGAACTGTGTCAAAGTTTCCTAAAGCTTTAATGGCTTGAGCAGGATTGAACCCATATCTTCCCGAAATATCAGACTGAAGTTACTACGATTTAATCTCAACATATTCTGCTTTTCTTTGTATACCACTAAAGAAGGGCCTGGTGGCTCAGCAGACCAAAAGCATTGTGATTAACACCAGCTGTCTGCAATTACTGTAAGTTCGAATCTCACCAGGCTCAAGGTTGACTCAGCCTTCCATCCTTTCTAAGGTAGGTAGTTTGTGGGGGCAATAAACTGACTTTGTATAAATATACAAAAGTATGAAGGCTATTGCTTAATGCATTGTAAGCCGCCCTGAGTCTATGGAGAAGGGCGGCATATAAATCAAATTAAATAAAAATAAATAAAAGAAAATGTGCTATAAGCATTGGTTATCACCTGGCTAATGTAGCTAGGGCAGAAATGGCAAACATCTGCTGTTTGAGGTTTTGTTAGGACTGCACAGCAATTGCAAGTTATTGTTAATGCTAACAGATTTTTTTTACCATTTATTTTCCAGTGTATTGTATTATCTTATATATTTGGCTCTATTTCCCCGTACAGTTGCATAAACATTTTGTAAATGCAGCCTTTGCCAATTCAGTGCCTTCTAAATATATTGGCTGATAAAGCTTGTTGATGTATAGGAACTATAGTCCATTACATATGAAAGGTATTGGCCTAGGAATGAAATCTGAAAGGATTTAGTAGACTTCTGATGCAAAATGTTAATTGGGGTAAAGACACACAACTTTTAGTTAGCAAGGCCAGTAGGAATTTGGAGATGTATGCACCCCATACTACATCTATATATTGTGGTAATATTTGCTCCCAAAATGCTAAATTCCCATTTGAAATTGAACTGAATATTAGTACAGAATTATGCAAGTAAATAGTTTGAATCCTGTTTGATCAATCAAGTAAGTGTAATATTGCAGATATGTATACCCAAAACCAAGTGCACAATGAAATTCAGTGGCTGATATAGTCAGGAGTTGCAGTCTCAGAAGTGACACTGTTAACTGAGATTGTTAAAAGAAAATTATAACATCATGGGAAACTAGCAGGCTTACTTACAGTACTTGTTTTCTTCTCCTAAATCAAATATGAGTAACAAGGAGTCCTTGGGCTGTGGGATAATTTATTCAAAATGTTCACTAACTTCCATTGTACTCATTCAAGATACTATTAACTGGAATGTCTTCTTCCTGAATTCTCTATCTTCCAAATTATTACACCACTGACTTCAAAATAATGACATTCCTATTCATTCCTTCCTAAAGAGTTTGGAAAAGCAATAATTGAAAGCTCAAAATAAACCTAAGAAAACATGTTCTCCTTTATCTTAATCAGATAAGATTAGAAACCAGTCTTATCAAAAATGCATCTTCAGAAGAGGGTTTAGAAAGCCATGCAAGTTCTGATCAGCGTTGGGGTCCTGCTGGAACCAATACTAGATTCTCTCTGTGCTCACTGCGAAGGCCTTTTCTTGAAAGCCCACACAACATGCTTTCAAAAGTACAAATCTGCCATTAGTGCAAAAGTAGTTTAGGACTATAATAAATTGACTAACGAGGATACAGGATGTAGGAATAAATATGATCAGCCCTATCCATGTTATTGGGGTAGTCTGTAGCTGCTACTCATATTTCACTTTCTACAGTATTGTAAATTGAACTATTAGTAAACTATAGCATACACAATAGATTAAACAGAATAGGACATTCATTTAAAAACATGAGAGAATAAAGGGGAAAAAAACCGCGAACACAACATTCACAGAAAGTCTGGGCATATAGAGCAGGGATTTTTCTTATTTACAAGTTGATATATCAATCAATCTGCTAATAGATGTTTTTGGCCACAGCAATCACTTGTGGATCCCATGGCAATGATGATTCCAGGAACACCCAAAACTTGGTATCCATTCTTTCTGAGGAAGTACAGCTATAATCACAACTGATAGACCTCCTAATTCTTCAGGGTTCAACCTTAACTTCTTGATCCTCATCCATAGCATCCCAATTTCCAGAACAAATACCACATCTCTTGACTCGGGCATAACACTACAACATTAACATGATCAGCAAAACCTGCTAATTGGGATTAAAGTAAAATTTACTATTATGCCACAAAAAAGCTGTCCAGGAACCGAGACATACTCTAGGACCATCACTATAAATAGGAGTGAAATTGCTTTACCACAGTATATTGTTTCTGCCGCCAAACTCTCCCCCTGCCAAACGTATGGAAGATGGCTCAAGAGGATATGGGGACTGGCCAGAGGTGGTATTCAGCAGGTTCTGACCAGTTCTGGAGAACTGGTAGCGGAAATTTTGAGTAGTTCAGAGAACCGGTAAATGCCATCTCTGATGGGGCCCCACCCCCATCTATTCTCTGCCTCCTGAGTCCCAGCTGATTGGGAGGAAATGAGGATTTTGCAGGAATCTTCCCCTGGAGTGGGGAGGGAATGGAGATTTTACAATACCCTTCTCCTGCCACGCCCACCAAGCCACGCCCACCAAGCCATGCCATGCCCACCAAGCCACACCCACAGAATCAGTAGTATAAAATGTTGAATCCCACCACTGGGACTGACAGCATGAAAAGTGCTAAGAGATCAAGCAAATTCAACAGAGTTTTGTCTCTCTGTTTCTAAACCAGGTTAGATGGAAAAGGGTTTTTTTGGGGGGGATTTTCTTTGAGTCAGTATGGACTCCCGACTACTGCCTGGACAAGTTTTTGCCGTATTCTTGGCAGGATTTAAGAAATATATATCCATATAACTGCTTTAAAGAGACACTGATCTATGGTAATTTCCCACATGTTCTGAACCACTTCTCCAAATCATTTTTTAAGCATGCACAAGACAACTGGTTCTATTTCAAAAAACAACAAACTACACAAGGAGAAATTCCTATTCTCAAGTTGCATATTATCGAGTTGCAATCTCATTATCACAAAGGGTTGTGAGAATGTGATTGCACCAATACCATATGCTGATATGTTATTTGTACAATCTCAATCCTTTGAGGGAGCTTAATTGCCTTCCCAATAAGGTAATCTTTCATAGATGCAATAGTCGGCTCAGACTTACTATGAAGCAGAATCATTGAGCTGATATTCAGCTGCTCGGTCAAAGCACGCTTGAACTCCTCCATCAGCCCATAGTTTCTTTATACAATTTGTCAATTCTGGAGGCATGGTACCCTCGTCAATCGAATCGGCCAAACTGTACAGCTGCCGTTGCTCATCCTATTAAAAACACAGAGTCCATAAGCACAATCTTGTTTTGTTGGGGGCTGCATATGGAATTCAAGGCTCAATATTCATCTTCATGTTGTTATGAGGTCACCTATACAAGATGTCCATGGTTTTCAGTTGGGAAGTTCTAGCTGCAGAGACAGGCTTTACATGACCATTGCACCCTTCCAACTCTGTTATTCTATTCTATTCTATTCTATTCTATTCTATTCTATTCTATTCTATTCTATTCTATTCTATTCTATTCTATTCTATTCCATTCTGTTCTCAAATTACAGTGCTTTGCTACAGTATTTGTATCAGGTTTTTCTAGGGCTAAATACTAAGTAACTGGATGCATCAGACTAGAAAACACAAAAACAGAGAAGCAGGTAGAAGGAAGAACACTGAGCTCTGGTGGTGCAGTAGTTAAAATGCAGGATTGCAGGCTGCTAACTCTGCCCACCGCCTGGAATTTGATCCAGATGGGACTCAAGGTTGACTCAACCTTCCATCCTTGCAAGGTTGGTAAAATGAGGATCCAAATTGTTGGGGCAATATGCTGACATTTAAAATCACCCAAAGAGTGCTGTAAAGCGCTGGTACATAAGTCTAGGTGCTATTACTGTTTGTACTGGGAGAAAAAAAAAAGAAGAAGAAAGCAATAACTCCAAGTGACAATATATCTGCTTCTTTCATCATGGGGGAACTTTGGTTGGTCTTGGCTTGTCCAGCAAAAGTATTTCCGTTAATGAAATGCTATTGCGTATTGCCATTCTGGCACAACTGTAGTGGTTTCTTCCAAAATGGCATTTTTTCAGTACCATGTGGTTGATAAGTTGATGTCTTATACATTTTCAGCAGTATCTTCCCCTTTTTTTCTTTTTTTAAAAAGCACATTACTTCTGTTATGAAACGTAAGAGGTAAGACTGTTTTGAGAATAACTCAGGAGAGTGCTGCGTAATTGTTCTATGAATCAGCTCTTGCACATTGATGGATAGGAAACAAACAATGCTCCCCAAAGCTTTTCCTTAATCACCAGGTGGCGCTATGCACACCTATTTAAGTTGTGTAGCAAAAAAAGTGACCTGCTGTGTTTGTACAACACACCTACCCATGGTTACTGAATCATGGTTTAAACAGTTCATCAAATGTCTGGAGTTGTCTGGAACACTGAACCATAAGCAAACCACATTGTCTAAGTTCATATTAGTCTACACAGTTCATACTACACTATATTAAAAGGCAGTGTTCATTTTGCTTATGGTATGTTCCAGGCTAAGAGATTTTGTGTGGCATAAGCTATTGGGCACTGGTTGTATTGGTACCAAAAAGCAGTTTTGAGTGTGGTTGTTTTCCACAAACCATCTATATTTGATGCATGTTATCACTATTTGCACACTTGATATCCCTGTTCTGGAACTCCGTGTGTGTGTGGGGGTGTGTGGGGTGTGTGTGTGTGGGGGGGTTCTAACCGTCTTTACTACTGGTTCTCTTTGTGCATGTGCTTCGCATGCGATTGCCTCTTCAGTTGCGCGCTTTGCACAAGCGCGTTGCAAATCTGCCAGGCTGAGGTGCAGCAATCCGCTCTGCCGCACCTCAGCTGGGCAAAAAAAGAAGAAATATAAGGGCAGAATAATGCAGGGGAGGGCGGGAGGGACCAGCTCCCGAAGAAAGAGAACTGGTTCAGTGATGTAATAGTGTCACTGCTACCGGCTCGGCCGAACCGGGCCGAACCGGGAGCAACCCACCACTGGTGTGTATGTATTCCTTATATATTGCATCTGAACACAGTACATCTTTTAAGCTTCTAGAACAGGGCTGTCAAACTCACGGCCTGTGGGCCACATGCGTCACGTGCCCATGCCCATGCTCGGTTTAGCGAAGGGGTAAAAGTCACTATATGTCATGTGACAATGCCATGACGGTGCGAGTTTGACACCCCTGTTTTAGAATGTCCTCCAATGTTAGTTATTGTTTTTTTTAAATAAAGCCACATTCTTTGGTTTTCTATCATTTTTAACCCATAAGAAAATATGTATAAACCATAGAATAAAATTTAGTGAAACAGCATGATATGTATTCTGGACTATCATTTAAACATCTCGTGTTTAACATCTTGGACTCAAATTTTAAAATGTTTATATCAGTCTCCTTGTCTCAGCTATATGCAAACACCCACACATCAACCCTGATCCCAGCCTGTTCAAATTGAAAACATTTTTCCTATGTAAAAGGAAAAAAAATTGCTCTGTGCTATGTATGTGCAGTGGGAGGCAATATTTAAAAAATAATAATCAAGACTTCAATTATGCCATAGTGGCCACCTTTTCACTTTTTCGACCGCTCCAACCAGCCTTCTTGTATTGCATTCTGATTTTTAGCCATTGTCATTGCTTTCTGGAGAACACATGTTACAAGTACAGTGTGCTATTGGTAACACTCACCCCTCGGCCTGAATCAGCAAAATCTATGCCTAGAGTAGTCATGGCCCTGATGATTGATAAGATGGATTGAAGTATGTTGCTATATATGACTGCTTTGAACTCCATACATTCTTCTTCTGTGTAGCCATCTTGATGGATAATTCTGTAGCACAAAGAGAGAGAAAAAAAATCCAGGTCCTGAATATGAAATGCTATCATAGATTATATTTCAAAGCTTATTACTAGTTTGTTCTTTGATTTTACTCTCCACCTGCCAAGGAATCTGTGCACTTCAACAAGGATTGCAGACAAATCTGACTATTGTTATTTATTCACTAAGTGAAATGTTAACACCTGGTAGAGCCAGTTGTGTCTAAATTCTGATCTCAACTTTTTCTCCTTTACATTCTCAACATCATAGCTTCCATTATCAACTCCTCTCTTTCTTCTCCCCACTTCTGCTTTTTATAGCAACTCATCTAGCAGGGAATTTGAGTACTTAAGTTTGTTCCAAGCTATGAGTCCTACTGTTAGTTTGGGTAATCCAAACATCAGCTTGGCACATTCAGTTTTCTACTGTAGGAGGTTCAGCAGAACTTCTGAGTTCTTGCATGAATGGGAACATGCTACTTGTCTTCAACAGGTAAGAGCAGATGCACTTTTCCCTAAGAAGGTGTTATTGATAAGGCCATGTTCTTTCCCCTATGCACTCTGAAGCACTTTTTGGAATTTAAATGCCATGTGCTGTGCCACCCTAATTTTGATACTCAGTTGATGAGTCTTGCAGCAATAATTAATGCTTGCTGTGGATAATTGTGCACTTCATCTTCAGTGAAGCTTGCATTTGCCTAGAATCACTCTAGTCTTAAACTTAATTTAGTTCCTACAACGTTCATTTAAAAAGACCAAGTAAAAATCATGCTAAAGGAAGAGCTACCCAAATGCATTTGACCTTAAATGGTCATTTCTATCAACGAGCCTAAAAAAAAGGACATCCAAACTAATGGGAGTTTTTTAAACCATATATGCAGGCAGGCAGTTATTGATGGCTCAATGATGTGCTGTTGTATGAAAAGGTATTTCCTCTTGATCCTGCTCAGAATCAATTTATGAAGCAAGCAGTTGCCACTTGTTGTCCTCAGTTGGTTTAACCACATGCTATTTTTGTGTGTCCTAAGCCTTCCATAATCAGTTTAAGTTATTTGCCTCAGCCCAGTCCTGCTGCCAACAACCTGAAAAGTATCTATCTAATTAAAAATGATACAGCTAACTTTTGAGCTCCTGATCGCTGATTGTGAAGGGGATACTCACTTCATCTGTTTGACAATTGTACTCTTCCCTGACTCACCAGCACCTGGAATGAAAAACAGCTTAAGGTCAGAACTGCTTTGCAGACAAACAGAGGACGCTCTGAGTTAACTATGTATTGCTTTCCTACAGTAGTTATTGTGAGATCACCACTGGAAATATATTCAACTACTATATTGATGAATTTGCTCCTGTAGACCAGTCATTCTATTAGGGCATGGTTGGTTTGCTAAATCAGCCATAATGTCTTTGTTCATACACAAGTCTCAATAAGCATGACTTAGTGGTCTCATTCAGGTAGTATCTTTCACAGCAATATTATAAAGCCTTGCCATTGCTTTTTCAAGAATACTTTTCAACTTCCCAGTCTTACTAAAGTTTGGAGATTTTCTTGTGATCTCTCATTCAAGTTCTAAATACACCTCAACACTCCTAGCATCCATACACAGACAACAAGCATTATAACTAGACCATATACCATGATTTGCAAGGCATGCTAGATTCATGCCTTGCACCAAGGCAAAAGTAAAATAAAACCATATGATAGCTTAGTGCAAAAATTATTGAAAAATTAGCCATTCTGACTGGCCTACCACCATAAAGACAACATCATGGGGAACATAGATGTTTTTCTGCGAAGGAAGGTCAATGATCAATAATCTCAGAAGATTCTTCTCTGATGTTCATGCTTATATGTTAAATCTTATTATAGGAGAGCTATTGATAGTCTTTGACTTTCAACCATTTGTTTAGCCACTGTTCAGATTTACAATGACAACGAAAAAAGTGAATCAGAATCAGTCACAGGATTCACATGTCATGTGTTCAAAATTTGAGTGCTTGGCAATCAATTCTGGTTTTAATCTCCATTGTGGTTGTAAATCAAGGACTAGTTTTGTAGTGCTTGACCCAACTAAAAAAAAGATGACATGTGAAACAATGACTCACCTCAAATGTATTATATCAGAATGAACTACAGTTGGCTAATCTTCTGCAATATACTGTTAACATAAACCAGTATGTTTCATACAACATTTAGCCTTAAACCACAATATGTATTAATAAAGTCTGTGGACTATATTAATACAGCTTAATATGCTGTTCTATGCCATAATATGATTTGTTTGTTCTTGATTTAATGTAAATTCTGCCATGGGTCTTGCTCAGCAATTTATTAAAACAAATCATTACTTAGTAGGATTTATCCCGAGAGCCTAAAAAAACCTCACTGGTCTAAATAAAAGGTAGCCTGCCCTTTAATTCCCCAGGCTATGGAAACAGCAGCCTTCATTTTCCCATTCCTATACATGAAATGCCTCTCTTTCTTGGGCCAAATATTTTTAAAGCTGCTCTCTGTTAGGCAAGGCCCAGCCTGAACAAATAACAGATAGATATTAAATAGGCATTAGTTATTTCTATGCCACCCAGAGTTATGTCAACACTGAAGCTAGTAGTGCATGCTAAAGATACAGTGAAGGCACTTTAGGAATGTTTTTCTCTGGGAAGACCTCCCGATCCACCCAAGCATGACTGATGTGTTCTTCATTCTCTGTAAATTTGTGATGACCTTATGAAGCCATGAGCCAAGTCATACCTGTATGTTTACAAGCTTAGAGCTACCAGAGAGCATTCATGGGCCAATGCTTCAGCACAGAGAAGTGTCTGCCAATCATCTTTTCCAAGATGAGCAAGAACCAAGCATCTTATTATGCCTGCACAGGTTCCTCCTGATTTATGACCTCTCTTCACAGAATTAAAGAGAATGGCTAGTAACACACACAGGTCCTCCATTATTATTCCACATTTATTTCTGTCCATTTATTCCTTGTTTTGCCCAAAATCCCAAAGTGTGAAAAGACCAACTGTAGAAAATGGTAAACAAAGCAATGAAAGCCCTCAAAAGCTTCCCAGACACCCAAAATGAGAACTTTACTGTATAGTAAGTCTGTGATCAAGACTTGAAATGGGGCTATGGCAACATTCTGCATTTGGGCACCTTTTCCAACAGCTGTAATGCTGCTAGCATATGGCTATGTCCAGAGGATTGGATGGTAAACATGAGGAAAGATAAGCTATCTGCAGATGCCCTGAAATCTCTGGGAATAAGGCAATGAATAAGGTGATGAATCTTCTTATAGAGGTTGGTTATAGGCTTATAGACTGCCTTATTCTAAACAACTGTAAAATGTGTGAATTATAACTCCCAGAATTCCTCATCAGCACTGGCTGGAACATTTTGGGAATTCCACATATGTGGTAGTCCACACATCTTAAAGTTGTTAAGTTTCAAAAACACTGTTCTAGAAAGGGTCTTCTGGAATGGAATATTTTAAATGTGCTTACAAAACATGAAGGATTATACTTTAACAGCATGAAATGCCAGAAAGGAAAATCAAAATGGTTGTGGGAGTTACTGTGACACACAGTCCTTTAGAAAAAAAACACAGTCACACTAATTATTAAGGAGGAAATTACCATGGAAATCAAATCAGATGTGGGACACTTCACTGTGAGCAATTTTCCTACGCAACCTCATTGCCTTTCCTCTATAACTCTTTGTGGTAAAATTTAGAAGTGCTTTTTCAGCCTTCCCAGATGTGGACATCAGCTGGAATTAGAGGGAATTCGGGCCAATTCAAACTTCTTCTATTGGGACTGGTTTGTGTGGAAGCTAGAATGAATATAGTTGGGATATAAACATTCAAAAGTCTTTTTTAAAATCATGTACCTGGAAGTGCTCAGGTAGATTCATAATATATAGATCAAATCTGATCATGTTTTCCACAGCTTTTCATATTATTTCTAGTGCTACCTTCATTTGTAACAATGAATTATTCACACAGCTTACAAACAATGCGATGCAAAAAAAGTTTTTTCTATGAAATGTGAAATGTATCTGGATGAAACAGTTGCATACAGTATATCTGTCTCCATAAAAATAATCTAGAAGGCTACCCAGTGATGAAAAAAAAACAAACTCGTATGGATTCACTGCTAGTATTTTCTGTACTAATTTTTTTCATTATATGGAAATACTTGCCTTTTGATGACCAAGACATTTTGTATACAAGAATAAATAAGATTTTTAGGCTTCAACCTGATACACACTTGTATAAATAATACCAAACTTAATGTGTTTTATTTCTACATAGAGATACAGTATATAGGATTACACTATAAATGTTGTTTTTCTCTCTGTCTTTGACTATACCTACAACTACAGTTTCGGTTTTAGTGAGGACTAATAGCCCTAAACTGAGAGAACATTGTTTTAGGTTGGATTATTAAATGTTTTATCAAGTTACTAGAATTCAATCATATGCACACAGATAGTTATTCAGAAATGTATTTACTTAAAATACAGTGACTCCTAGCTGCAAGACTAATTCATAAGCTATTTTCGCAATCACTGGCTCATATTTTTACTCCAAATGCTTAGATATTTGCTTTCCAGAAGCACCAGCTTAGAATGTGTCTTCCTAAAAACACATTCCTTTTCTTTCTTAACAAAATGTTTCTTCTGTTGCTCTTCACCAATTTAAGCAACCATTGTACCATTTCTTGATCTCATCACATTAAGCTGCTTGTTTAGTTCAAACCAGGAAGCTGCTTAGAATTAGAGCTTAAGCACTTTAATTCCAGTTTCCCTGCTGTTACTGTGATGAATCCGTGTTGCCAGGAGGCACATAAGAACCGATTACTCCTGCTTGCCTCCACAAGCAGCACTGCTGATCTATGTGATTTCTACCGCATGAACTGTAGTACACTTGTTTCTACAGCAATGTTATCTCACGAAGCCATGCAGCAAAGTCAGGATATAATATTTTTCATTCTACATACAGGAGGACACCTTATCCAATCCCCATCTCATCATTACTGCGGTTTCCAATTCAAGTTTTAGGGTGGGCTGAGCTAAACTGCAACAATAGCAACAGAGTAGGCCAGGCCTGCCTTCATTGTGACCTCCAAATTTCCAGAAATTAAGCAGAGCGCAGATTTTTACCCCAGCCATGGCCACATCTCTGTTCATCCATTCTCTACTAGTACTATAGCCTTCCTCAAACCAGTGCCCTCCAGGTATGTTGAATTAGAAGTTAAATTGCAACCAGCTGCTAAGCAAGATGACTAGAGACAATGGGGAGTGTAGTTCAATGCATAAAGAAAAATTAGATATAAAAAATATCCCTTGCTGCTCACATTTGTTTCTCAGTTCCTGCTAATGTGGATGTTAAACTGCTAAAAACTCACACAACTGATTGGAAGACACATCTTACTCAACAGTTTCCATGTCTTAAGTATCTTTTTTGCTACATTTTAAATAAATTAACTTACTGGCAGTTTTCTTTCAACAAATTCACTTTCTAGATGCATTTTGGAGCCTGAGCTCTTTATTATGAGCTGCAATTGCATAACATTTGACTGGATTCATATATGTGGCAATCAAGAACTCAGAAATATAAAGATCCAAGAGAGGAATGTGGGAGGCAAGTTAAAGAACGAACAATTAAAGCTTTAAAATGGGCAAGAGATGATCGATAGAAAGGATTTGTTCTTAAATATAATGGTGGCATGATTAAAAATTAGAATAGGGATAGAAATAAGAGAGGAGGGAATATTAATATATGCATTTTTATACAATAAGACAAAAGTAATAATAAAAGGGAAGATTAGAAATTGAATGATGGTATTGTGTATGTTTAAACAATATTGTGATTGGCATTGGAATAACGTATTGAAACATTGAATAATTAAATAATGAAAGTCTATAATTTAATACAAATATGTGTATTAACACTAGAATAAGCTTGAGGAATGTAACAAATAAGATTAATAGCACTATTTTTATTTGTACTAAAATGTATGATACTCAGATGCCACACTGTTCACACATTGATATGGATATATTGTAAAATAAAATAAAAAACTTGGAGAAAAAAAAAGAACTTAGAAAAATATATATCAAAGAATACTACATATTAAAGCTATTACTCAGATAGTTTCCATAAACAAGTCAATTTCATGGAAGCAGAAAAATATGGCTGGAGA